GGGTGCACAATAAATCAACGGCAGTGTTCACACGCACCAAACTGATGTGGATAGAGGCAATGCGGGCATCTGATCATTTTAAAAAGCTTATGCCAGCAAGGTTGAAAAAAATTGATTGGTTGACCAAATGAATCAATTTTACATGTGTGGTGTATGAACGGATATTTATAAAATGATTTAAATAATGGCAGAATCGATATAAGTGTAGTTCCTATAATCCATGTGAATACATTCTTATTTGTGTGTGAGAGAGAGAACAATCGGGAGGAGGGGACTTGCTGCAGAAGTGGATGCTCAAAAGATGGTGTGGAGAGGAGATGTAGAGTAATGATTTACAAGCAGCATAGTTGCTTGTAACAAGCTACATTATTCTGGTAACAAAGCCAGAATGAAGTCTGGAAATAACATTTTACTGAGGTAATGACTCAGATCTGCTACTTGCATTTGAAACCTACTTTTAAAGGCCATTTTGATAGGAAGTTATTCAGGCTTTATAGCATCCTCTTTTTACTGAGGTAATGACTCAGATCTGCTACGTGCATTTGAAACCTACTTTTAAAAGCCATTTTGATAGGAAGTTATTCAGGTTTTATAGCATCCTCTTATTAACCGTATTTCACCATCAGCAGCAAAATTTATTTATTTATTTATTTATTTATTTATTGAGCTTATATGCCACCCGTATTCTGGGCAGCTCACAAAACATGTAATAAAAACAATTAATATGAAATAACAGATTCCAACATTAACACAAAAGCAGAATAGATAAAGATAAAGAAAGAGAATTACATAGTGTCCGGAGGGAAGGCCTGTCTATATAACCAGGTCTTGAGTTGGTTTTTGAAAATGCCCAGCAAGGGGGCCAGACAAATTTCGGGGGGGGGAGAAGCATGTTCCAGAGCCTGGGAGAAAAATAAGAAATGCAAAGAGTTATTTTAAAAACATTGCTAACAATTTACAGCAATTATTTATTTATTTTCAACACTATAACAAGTAACAAGTTACTTTTGAAAAGTAATTTTCCAGAGTCTGGCAATTTGCCCAGTCTAGCCTGGAATCCAGTGTTATTGCCTGTTATATTTCCCCAGTACACAAACTGTTTCTCTGTAGGACTAGAAAGGCTGATTAAATCATGTACAGTATTTTAAAAATAATCCATTGGCAGCAGTGACAGATGTTGCTTAGTATTTGTAGGCCTGAGCTACAGTATACAACCAAAAGATTACTGATTGGTTTGGACTTTTTTTGTGTGTGTATAAGAATGAAATCTTTCTGAAACCTGTTCTGCATCTTTCTGCTACCAGTGGAGGCCACATTAAACACAGATTTGGCAGCAGTGGTGTGTTACACTCTGCACAGAATTGGGAAATGTTTTGTGCTGTTAGTAGATTCTACAGAGTTGAGACAAATTCCTGCATGCTTCTTTGGATTCTTGTTTAGCACTGCTTGCAATCTCACAGAAGGGCACTGCTTAGTGTAAATATTGATTCTGTTTCTTCCTGAAGAAGTTATGATTCTTCTGTTTGCTGTGTAGGAATGTCTTATGTTAGAAAATGCATATCAGGCTCTTGAAGTTATACTTCCAGACTTGACCAAGTCTTGTGATTTTTATTTTGGACATGTTGATGTTATATTACATTCAGAAAAAAGAGCAACACTTATTCATAGTATAAATGCTTTTAAAAGGTCATACACGTTAATGACATCTTGAAAACAGAAGCAGTTTCCGTATATGACCCAATATTTTCCTGAAGTGTTTGTGCATATTGGCGTTTATTTACATGTCATACTAAGCCACTATGCCTAAGGCTGGTGCTTTAGCCGCAAAGAGTTCAGCAGATAATCAGATAAATCACAATTTCTTTTCCTCACACACATATAGCAGTTGTTTCTTTTCCTCGCTTCTAGTCTGTTTCTGTCCCATTCCTTTTGTCAGGCCCTGTTTATGCATCTGGGAACACAAACCAGGAACAGGTCATGCTTCTGGGTTCAGACCTAGAGATAAACCATGGTTTTAAGAAGTCGGTATTGGTAAGATAAAAATAGGCATGGCTTGTAATGGATAGAGGTTTCTGACAGGCTAATAAACCACACATTGTTCAAGAGGTTTGATTTTAATATGGTACCAAGCATGAATTCAGGAAACGTCAGCCTGGTTGATTGTTACGTATAGAGATGGGGATGAATATAAAAATGGATTGGCTTTTTCGACGAAAATAGCTGATTCATTAAATATTCATCTCTTCATATCCGTGAGTTCCAGAGACCCCCATGAATATGAAGGGACAAATATTTACCTTTTTTTTGTCCTTCGTATATTTTTTAAAAAAACTATTCTGCCTACTGGCTGCCGATCAAGTGATCAGCGGCCGATAGGCAGCCACCCATCTCCACAGCCTACCCCCCCCTCCTTCTTCTCCCTACCTTAGCCCCCCACACCCTCACCAACACCCCCGTACCATAATCGCCTCTGCTGCCGAAGCAGAATGTTGTTGTTGATGATGATGTTTTTGGTAATAGGAAGAGGGTGTCGGCAGGGGTGAGGGGGTGGAGGACGGCGGCGCAGTGGTAGTGGGGTGGGGGCAGTGGGGATGTTTTTTTAATAACCCCCAACGAATCAACGAATAACTGTCATTCATCGCTTCATGGGGGCAACTTCATGCTTCATGAGTCGTCAACTTTTGACGACTCACAAAGCAGGATGAGTCACCAAAATGGCGAGTCGTCCCCATCTCCAGTTACGTATAAACTCAGCAATTACCTTTATCGCAGGACCTTAAGAATTGTAACACTTTAAAAGTTTCTGGGGTTCATATGCCCATCTGTGACACAGAGGAAGGAGGATTACAGCATTACAAACTCAAGTTCACTGCCATGGCTGTATTCCTATCACCTTCCTATCCTGTCAATGTTCATAGCTTTTTAATGCTTGTAATAGCCTTTAGCACAGTCCACCTGGAGATGAGAGTGGAAAAGGAGAGCTGTAACAAACAGCTGGACGAATCTACATTTGTCAGACAAACATTTCTGGAAAGCATTAAGTTGTTATTTTTCTTTTGACAGATATATCACTTAAAGTCTAATTGACTGATGCTGGAGAAGACCATCAGAGAAGCCCCCTCCCTTTCAAAGGCAAGCTTTCAAGATGTGGGCGACTATTGTGTTTTTCCTCCTGATTTCATTGTGTGTGTCTGAAAATGGGAGTGCCATCTTAAAGGAGAATGGAGTCCAGATAACACACGTGCATCTGTTCAGTAGCCTCAAACACTGTGAACAAGCTTGCAAAGGTCCAACAGCGTCAGGTAAGGCTGCCTCACTTTACTGTGTTTTCGTTTGTGGGAGAAGTCTTCTGCAGACATAAGTATGCAGCATTTGCAGTTATGGTTTCTTTATGCAGTAGCTAAATGGCTTCACGGCTTCAGTTAATTGAAAACAGAGCAGGGACCAGCCTGACTTTTACAGCCCAGGAAGCACAGAAGGGTCTTTGTGCATACTGTAGTAGAAACTGTTACATTACTTAGCTCACTCCACAACCGGATGTCTGAATTTGGTGACGTTTCACATTCCTGTGTGCCCTTATTGCCCTATTACCCAGATCCCTTGAGATCTTGGGAAGTACGGGGACTCAAATTTGACCTGGACTTCAAGAGTCACTTCATCCAACCACCCCCACCACCCCTTTTGCAACTCGAGGATGCTGAGCATCCTGAAAGTCTCATCTGTTTTCTTCTTTAAAAGCCTTGAGGGAAAAACATTTCAAGTATTCTGGAGCAGCTTTTCACATTGGCTTGCCTAGGGGTGGAGAAGCACTTGCCCTCCGGATACTACAGCTCTTGTCATCACCAATCAATGGTCATACCCAGTCGAGATTGATGGAAATTGCAGTGCAGCATCAGCGGGAGCGCCATAGCTTTCCCATCTTCGACTTTGCTTTTATGGGTATTCCTGTATATGTAGCCAGTTGCTAACTTATAAGTGGTTGTAGTTTCCTTCTCTTTTGCCAGTTTCTTTAATCATTCCTCTTCATTTAGTCTTCTTAAACTAAACCTGCTCCAGTTTCTCATTATGAGAAACACGTGACAGTATTTCCCCAAGGCTTTAGTTTTAGGCCTTTTCTATATCTTGCTGCCTGAGGTTAAAACTGGAAGTACCTGGGGTATCTTCGGAGGCTCTGCATGCAAAGCATGGACTCTGCAACTGAACTCCTTTAGCTGCTTCTTGCCCGTAGCTGAAATATAGTGAGCTCTGAAAATGTTGGTCCTGCTAACAGAGTTTTATCAAAGTATAACTCTGGATCCATTCTTTCTCCTCTAGCCCTTTTCTTTTTCTCTAACTGTTTTGAAGGAAAGTTCACAATATTATTTCAGTCCGATTGCTGTATTGTCCTATTCTGATAATGGGGGGAAAACTAAGAGACTATCCATCACAAATTTTCTAGCTTTAATCTACAAGCAGGACTTGCAAAGAGGAACATTTTAATTCACACCAAAGTGGACCTTCTGGTAAACAAGACTTGTTGAACAGAGCTTGTCCATAAGGAAGGACTTTGCTGGATAAATGTTGCAATCTACTGTATTAAGTATTGTATGGAACCTTAATTTAATTCCACTTTTGATGAATTACAAGGGGTGAGGGAGGCAGAGTCCCTCAGAATTGCCAATAAGCCAAAGACCTGAAAAAATAATCATTGCTTAACTTCACTAATAGATAAATCCCAGCCCAAGGTAGATCAGCTTCTACCAGCTTGATTCCCCAGGGATGTTTTTGCCTGCAACTCTCATCTGTTCCAGCCAGCGTGGCTAATGATTAGGGGTAATGGGTTTTGGAAGGTTAAAAAGAGTCTGTGGTAGATGAGACTTATGCATTTGCTTTCCCTCTGATGTTTTAGGGAGTCGCTACTGCTGGTCGGTGCTGTATCAGAACCGCTGTGTCCTCTTGCGCTGTCCTCAGCTGAATGTGTGCCAGAATGCCAGCACACAGGATATTAAAGAACTCATGGGAGGTAATTTAGTTTCAGTAGAGCAGGATTTTGATTTAAGCTCCCATCATTGCCATAAATATAAAAATAAATCAAACTTTTCAATCACAAGGAAAAACAGATTTCCTCATGTTTTAGTGGTAACAGATGGGCAGTGACTAACATTCTCTCTAAACTGCATGCACGCAGAGCTCCATCGAGGCTGCACATCGGCAGCTGGTGTTCTCACTTGTATAGTTCCAGTTTCGGCTGGAGTGCTGCCCTGCCCACACATAGACAGGGCGAGGCTCCCGCGGAGCGATGCCAAAAATTAGAGGGAATGTTGGGCCATTGACTGTAGTCTCTTGTTGATTGGTTGTTTATGCAAAGCAAGAAAACTACGAACTCTTTGGGTAAAACAGCTGCTTGATGTGATTTAAGATAAAACCTCAAATAGTCTTACGATGTCTTAATGGTTAACCATTTTTATTTGCTCTAAGCTTTCATGGATGCAAAAGTGGGCACTGCAAAGAATATTCTGGGAAGGGTAATCTGTGCACCATGATGATAATGCCTCTTTTCCCTTCTCATCATAAAACAGATTTCTGATGGGTCCAAATGGGTCTAAATCAAGGACAAGGAGGAAAGATGCCAAATTCTTGAGCTTACTCAAACAGAAGGATGAGTTTACAAAGAAAACTTTGTCCTAGATGATTTGGTCCTAGTGACTGCCAGTTGCTAAATTCCCAATGATGATTTGAATGTGCAGTTAAAGACAGCCCTCTTAAAAAAGACCACATCTGACCTACTAAGAAGTGCAAAGTAGGTAAAGTGGCATTTCAGGCCACTTCATAGTGTGCCTTTCTTTAGGTTTTGCTGGTTGGGCATCCATGGAGGCTTTTTTTCTGTGCAAACCCCAGATCGATTGTATGCTGCACCAACACTCCCAACCAAAAGCAGAAGTAATTTCTTCTCAGTTAAAAATCAACTACTTTCTTTTTAAAAAAACAATAATTTAGGAGGCGGTCAATGTATTCGCGAAGGCTTTCACGGCCGGGATCTAATGGTTGTTGTGGGTTTTTCAGGCTCTTTGGCCATGTTCTAACGTTTTGCCAGTCTCTGTGGCCGGCATCTTCAGAGGAGATGGCAAAACGTTAGGAAGAACAACCTTCAGAACACGGTCAAAGAGCCTGAAAAACCCACAACAACCAATAATTTAGGAGATTTTCTGTTTATGTTTTGTTGTCTTTGCTTTGTATTAGAAGACAGTTGTGCTTCTTTGAGGCTTCTAAAAGTTTAATCCTGTTTTAAAAAAACAACAAAATATGGGAAAGCTTGAGGGAAGTGTCTCAGAACAAACTTCAGGGGCTGTGTGTAGCCTGCACATTGTGTGATTTCTGTCTTTGAGATATGAGCAGGAAATGTAATTCTGATGCTATGATTTGTAACAAGGTCTGCCAAGGATGGGCACCTGCAAAGGCCTGTGGGTACCAGAAAGTCCCACTAAATTAAGTTCCAGGCTTTATGGAAGTCCTTCATTTTAGGAGATCAGCAGAAGGAATGCATTAAGTGCACTCTTGCTGTGACTGGGAGAGTCTCTTGGATTATTTGATGGGGCAGATGTTGCATATCTTCTGCTCATAGTCTTGTCAAAACCTGGAGGCAATCTTGACTCAGATTCTTTAAGATACTTTGTCTTGTGAAGGAAGTGGAATTCTGCAAATATGGAACTGTATATTTTTGAAATCACTTGTCTCAATTGAAAAAATGCCACTTCTATTGGCCCTTGGCATTATGGGATTGTTCATTTGTGTCTTTGCCTCCCTATTTCTCCTGGAGAAAGGAGGAAATCCTGACATTAGTATTCTGTTGGCTGTTGAGCCGGAAATCCGAGGCCGAGTGTGTAATCAGAGTGGTTTTAGCCATCAGTAGCTAACATTGGATTTAACAGCAATGGGCCTTCTGTTGTAATTCAAAGTGACACCAGAACAAAGTGGAGCATGTCAGGAAGTGGGAACTGTCTTGTACAGTGTGTGTGAGAATACTACTGTACATGTGGTTACTTTTCATGGTTGTTTCTGGTCTTCAAAGCACTTTTCATGGACTTAGGAGCCATGTGAAATTGAACAGACTCTTGCAGCCGAGAGCCACTAGTACTGATGAGAAATAAGGGTATATGTTTTTCTTTTTAAACAGCAAATTTCTTTCACATGTTTAGATTAATTAAATTATGATGTTCTAAACATGCCTATTTACATGTATTTTGAGGGTGAACTGTAAAAAAGATGGGCTCCCGATGCCTCAGGGCTCAGCTCTCAGAAATGCTGGGTCTAGTCCAAGGGTTGGAAACTGTGAACCCTCCAGATGTTGCTGAATAACTACTCCCATCATTCCTTATCATTAGATGGTCTGGTTGGATGAATCGGAATGGGAGTCCATCAACCTCTGCAGGGTCATAGATTTCTCATCCTGTTCTAGTTTCCTACATTTCCTCTGGTGCAAAGCCCAGCAACCACCTTCCGATTAGTATACCTCATTGATATGCCTTTGGTATTTTTTTTACTGTGCAGAAGCATGTGTGAAAGGAATGAAAACTCCTTTCATATAGATAAATAACAGTGCCTGTGGTCTTTTAGGCACCCCAGATTTCTGGATTGCAATCCATGGGGGTGCTGCATTTTGTTGCTCTCTCTTTAGAACATATTCATAACTTTGCTTGTGCAAAACTGGTTTTTAAGGTTTTTAGATTTTATAAATACGCCAGACTGTACAATTTTCATATGCTGAGTTATGATGGAAGCATTTAATGTCCTAAACCAGGAAAATAATCTTGGGTTTACTATGAAAAGGTACTGCATGTCAAATTTCATGGTTTTTTCAAATTTCATGGTTTTTCCCTCCAAGAGAAGGAAGCTTGGAGATGGGGAAGGAGGAATTTCTTTCCTGGTAAACGGGTGTAAATCTTATTAGTGGGAATCCACTGACATGACTTTATAAGTGTACATTTCTGCTGCTTGTTACTTTAGGTTAGTGTAGACATTTCTCTATTTCACACAACTGTTTACCGGTAATTCAGCATATGAAAGCAAATGCTGGCTTTTTAATTTGCATCAGCTCACTGCTGAAATTGATGATGGTGTAGTTATGCCAGTATAATTTTTCAACTAGATTCTGTCCATCATGTTTATTCAGTGACTCCTTCATTGTAAGCAAACTGGAGTTAGCGACACAAACATAAATTGCCCTGCATGTATAGCTCTTGAGACTCACATCTGGTAGCCTTTGGGAAGCCTACTTTTTATCATGTCTGTCTGTTTGTTTGTTTTTAAGAATATATGATCCGTAAAAGAAGAGACCATGATACGTCCAATCATGAAAATGATACAGCAAGTACAGAGAATCCAAATACAGAGCTGATGAATAAGACAAATACAGAAGTGCCTCTTTCATCAAAAGCGCAAGCAAAGACAATAGCAGGAAATATTGCAGTCAACACAATAACTGCGACTACAACCATTGCACAGAAAACTGCCACTACCATCTCACAAGTTAGAGCAGGAACAATAGCCATAACCAATAACAGTAATAAGAGCATAACCACAGCCAGTAAGGAGCCAGCTGTTAGTACTCCAAACAGGACGTCAGTTTCCAGCATCCCTCCTTACTCCACATCTTCCCTGTCAAACAGCACAGATGTGAGTGTTAAAACGACAACAAGTCCAGGAAGGGCTCAGGGCAGTAATTTGACTTCTGGAATAACTGGGAAAATAACAACAACAGAAGCTCTTCAGAGAACTACTGTTGCTTCTTTGTCCACAATAACAAAGCATTCAGTACTTTCCACCTCCCTGAAACTATTCCTTCCATCTGCCACTTCTGTTCCAATTACCTCTGTCACCATTGGAAGAAGCTCAAAACCTGTAAGCTTCTCTGCCACTACTATGACCCATAGCCCCTCAACATCAGCAGCTGTAAACATGACTCTAACAGCTACTGGGTCAGCCATAACAACAGCATCCCCTACACCAACAAGCCCAGCTGAATACATACCTGTTGTGACAGTCAAAGACAAGGGTACTTCTAATAAGGCAACTCCGACAGTCTTGTCCAAGAGTGTGGAAAGTCCCACTACTACTGCATTTACACCATCTACCAGTCAACTGGCAATGACAACAACTCATGGGAATCCCCTGGGAACATTTTCAACTAAAAGCCCAACAGCTTCATCCAAAGCCATAACTGTAAAACAAGACAAGCGTCAGCCGGACGTAGGTGTTGTGAGTAATTTTCGGCAGGTAGATGTCAGTTTGCTCTTTGCTGTGCTCCTCTTTGGAGTCCTATTTTTTATAACAATTGTAGTCTTGTTTGCCATTCAGGCCTATGAGAGCTACAGGAAGAAGGACTACACTCAAGTAGACTACCTAATTAATGGGATGTATGCAGACTCAGAGATGTGAAAGCAATCAAGGGGGGAAGGAAGAAGCTTAGTCCTTACAGCTGTTATCGAAGGATGTACAGAACCTTGTGTGACTTGTCTTTCCATTCTCAGTTCCGCCTATAGGACCAACTGAAAGTGCTTCCAAATTACTTTTGGTGCAATGTAGGAGAAATGCCATGTATTGTACTTTTAAAAGTATTTTTGTAACTCACAGGTTGCCATGGATCTACTGTTTCTCCAATTGTGCTATTGCTTCTGTTGTGCTATTTTTATTTGCCATTGCAAAAGGGTGTTAAAGCTGATGGCCACCCCCTCAGAGGACCAGCTTCCTTCCTACGTTTTGTCCTTCCTAAGGTTCTCTTAAAGCTCCACCACTTCCCATGGGATAGATGGTAAAAACGGGTGTCTCCAGGTGGACTTAACTTTTTTTTAAGCATTCCTAACACCTGCAGGTATCATAGAGACTGTATCAACGGCTGCTAATTCCAAATGGCGGACCAAGGACTGTCAATGTTAGTACAGGTGACCCAGACCAAAAGAGTGCCAAGAACAAGCAACACCTCCCCCCCCATACCCACACCTGTACAGAGGTTTGGATCTTCTAGTTATGGTACGCTTTAATTCATTTGCAGGTACAGTGGTAAGCCAATCACGAGAGAAGCTGCTGGCTCAGGATGCAGTGAAATAGTGGTACTTGTTCACATGTTTAGAAAGAGTCTTAACAGCTTTGAATGAAAAAAATTCCCTAGAATTACTAAGTACTCCTGTGGCTCCCTGTTGGGGGTAATGTTAGTAGAGCAATCATGTTTTTCAGTAGCCTCCTTGCTTGTTAAAAGAAATGTGCATAATAGACTCTGTTAATGCAGTTCAACTTCCTAATCATGGTGGTTCTTCCAGGAGGAGCTTGTGCACCTTTATATGATTTTATTTTTGTACTCACTCATTTAATAAAAGAGGCCTGGAAGGCACACACAACTGTACATTGATTCTATTTTTCCCATCTCAGCTTTTTCAGTTTCAGATTGAGAAGACTGATAACCAGGATTCACAACCTGAATCCTTTATTTCTTAAAGTTCTCGACATTCCTGTCAATGTGATAAAATTCTGCATTTTCCACTTTTTTTCTCCTTGTTTCTTTTTCCTAGCCACAATTCATCTCAGTTCAGTGAATTGTTCTGTAGGCATTTAAACCACAGGCCAAAGTGTGTACAGACAGAATCAGATTTTAAAGTTTGTGGGCCAGGTTGTTTGATCCATAATCTGAATTTGGTCTGTTGACTCTGACTGTAGAATAGGTTCCAGGATGGTGGTGAATAGTTCATGCGAGCCTACAGAATAGCATATATTATGTAAAGACAATCTCATGATTTAAAAAAAAAAATGGCTGTGAAAAACTACTTTTTGCTTAAGATGTGGCGGTAAGGCCATTAACACCCACTCAGTGCTCAATAAAAATCTAGATAAGCATTCAGTATTTGGGGTAGTAGTCTGGCAGGCCCAACAGGATCATGTTGGAAAGTCTGTATACTTGGGAGTGGAGGGAGGGCTTGAGGAAGTTTAAACTGTATGTATCTATTAAATAGAGCCTTCCATGTAATCCTTGTCCCCTTGGATGCAGCTAATTGCTTTTTGAATAAACTGATAAATTCTGAAGGCTTTTTCTGCCAGTACCTTGTAGGTAAGGGGGTTTGAGAACTTATCATGGAATAATCGAGTTGGAAGGGGCCTATAAGGCCATTGAGTCTAACCCCCTGCTCAATGCAGGAGTTGTTCAATTGTCTCTTGAATGCCTCCAGCGCAGGACTGCTCAGCACTTCCCAAGGTAATTGGTTCCATTGTCATACGCTCTAGTAGTTAAGACGTTTTTTCCTGATATTCAGCCTACAACTGGTTTTCTGTAGCTTGAGCCCATTATTTTGTGTTTTGCACTCTGGGATGATCAAGAACAGATCCTGCCCTTCCTGTGTATGACTACCTTTCAATTATTTTGTGCAATCACATCGTCCCTCAGTCTTCTTAAGGCTAAACACGGCCAGTTCTTTCAGTCTTTCCTCATAGGGCATATATTGTGTTGAGGTTACCTTCACTGCTACAAAGAGGAATGGAAGCACACAACAGTGGAGACAGCACTTTTGCCTAAAGTGGGCGGAGCTAATCCTTTTTGTGCGCACGCACACACATTTATGCACAAACTCATATTTGGAAGGTTGACTTCATTCTGCAAATGCAAGTAACAAGGGAAAATAAAAGCATGGCTAGGATTCATCATAATTAAACTGAACATACCATGTTTCCCCTAAATGTTAACATTTTAAATTTATGCTTTTGTTGTTGTTGTTCAAAATTCATACCCTGCTATGAATTTTGCAAGTGACTTCCAGTTAGGGAAGAGACTTTCTTCCCTCGTGGCACAGTGGTTAAAACGCTGTACTGCAGCCAAAACTGTGCTCACGACCTGGGGTTCAATCCCAGGTAGCCGGCTCAAGATTGACTCATCCTTCTATCCTTCCGAGGTCTGTAAAATGAGTACCCAGCTCGCTGGGGGGGGGGCAATGTGTAGCCTGCATAATTAACTTGTAAACCGCCCAGAGAGTGCTTGAAGCGCTATGGGGCAGTATATAACCAGCACACTTTGCTTTACCAGGACAATAGAAGAGGGAGGAGGGAGAGGTCTCCCCCTCCCCCGAATCCCAAATTATCCCTAGAGTTCTTTAGCTGAACATAATAGAAGGAACAAGGACACTTATAAGTTATTCTGAGACCTTTAGCTGAGGAAGATATGAAAAAAATATTGTATATCAGAATACAAGAAACCAATGAAATAATCTACCATTCAGCCTTGAATTTAAGGAGAAAATCAAATAAGAAATGCTATGTAGGTGCAGGATATGTGTTTCGAAGGTTTAGGACAAAGGTGCCTGACTGAGCTTATTTTATAGTCCTGAATGTGCCTAACTTCTTTTGCATAGCATTTGAATTACCTTGAATCTTAAAAGTGGCATCAATGTTTAGCTTCAGTAGTGTTGCATTTTGTGCAGGGTAAAGCAGAATACTTGAATGAAGGAGAGTGAATACTTAGCTCTCAAGGAGGGAAGTAAAACACTCTATTTTTTTCTTGTAAAAAGGGAGTAAATGGTTGGTTGAAGTCCCATCCTGTGTAGGACACAGAAAAATGAAAACAAAAGGGGAAGCATGGTACGTTCTATTTAATTATTACAAATCCTAGCCGTTTCTGTTTTCCCTTTTTACTTTCATTTGCACGGGTGAACCAACAGGGTGTGCTGTTTAGCCACTGAGCAGACTTGACTTCCTTTATAGAAAATAGGGGATGCATCCAAAATGTTGCTTTTATGAACGGCTCCTCATACTTTCTTGGCTGAGGATTCTTCTCTCCTCTTCCCTTTTCTCCTCTCGCCCCCCCTCCACTGCCCCCTTGTGAATTGTGTTTAAATTAGGCATGCTCTACTGTTGCATTAAGAAGACCTAACGTCCTGCTGACCCCAATTAAACAGAAGGAAACTATTTGGATAGGAATGCACAGCTTTTAAAACACTATAAACAGCAAACATTTGTATACATGGTTCATTTCAATGTCTGAAGAACTTGGCGGCGTCATGCCAGAGCAGGCAGAAGTCACTGAAGATGATAAATATAACTGCATGCCTTCAGTCAGCAGGCTCCAGAATTTTCTCTTCCCAGGCTCCAGCAATATGCTACTTTAGATTGTTTGTTTGTTTAACAGCATTTGTTTCCAGAATGTAAGAGGAAAGGCCCCTGCCCCATGCAGTCCAAAAGTCAACATAGGAAACAGAGGATACAGAAACTCACAGTCGTCCGTTGAAGCTGAATAATGTGGGATTCTCGACAGAGAAAGGGAAGTATACTCGTTGTTTTTCGTTCTAAATATGGTTTTTGAATGATGTAAGCCACCTTGGGTCCCTTTTAAGGAGAAAGATGGGGTAAAATAGTTTAAATAAATAATAAACTATCTTCTTCCGTCAATGTATAATTAAATTGTGGAATTCACTGCCATAGAACGTAGTGATGTCTGCCAACTTGGTCAATTCTGAAAGGGGGTTAGGTCATTTTATGGGGTTTAGGATCACCAATGCCTAGAGGCTGAGCTAGCTGTGTACCACCTCTAATATTAGAGGCAACGTGCCTCTGTGTCTCGGTTTCTGGACTATATGAGCAGATACTACTGGATTCATGTCCTCCTTTTGGTCTTCCCACACATAACTAGTTGGCCAATGTCTGAGCAGAAACTGGGATTAGATAGACCTTTAGATCTGTCTCAGCAGGGCTCATAATTGCTTCAATTGCACACACTTAGTTTCGCTTATTATTTTTATTTATGGACCACTTGTAACAGAATTCACCATGGTGGCTTTAAAAAACATAAAATCAGAAATTAAAAAAATCACTAACAGTAAAATAAAATTTTAAAATGCTGCCAAAGCACACAAAGCAGAGGCTAAAATGATAAGGCTAAGATAGTGTTAGAGGTGAGAAAAATGCAAACAACAAAATTCTTTGCCTTAGTAATGAAAATATAGTAACAGGCAAGCTTCTTCAGGGGCAGCTGGAAAAGGCCCTCTGAGGAAAATTCCAAGATCTTAGTAGAAACCTATGGAAAGAGAGGATTCTTCATGTACTCTGTCCTCAAGCTGTGAAGGGCCTTAAAAATCAAGGATGCAGTAATTGAAAAATACTTTCCCTGTTGCCGGGGGGGGGGGGTTATGCCATGTAAAAGAACATAGGTATAAGCAGCACACACTTACTTGTATGTGGATGGTGATAGTGGTGTTGTTGTGTACAGAGGGGGAACAGCTATCCCTCCCATAAGACGTCCCCCAGCTCCCCTCATTTACCATAGCTCAGGCCAGTTTTCTGTTTAATGATGCTTTTCAAATGTAATTGTACATTGAGCACTATAATGATTTAGTATCCAATCAGGCATGGGTGCAACCAAATCCATCTTACTCATAAGAAGGTTGAGCTGCCATTTTGGTGTCCGGGAGCAAAGCTAGTGCCAGGAGCATTCCCAAGCTTCTAGCCTGCCCCTATGCGGCAGAGTGTGACCTTACTCAGAAAGGCCAAACAGCTACTGTACTACTCCAAATCCTTATCTAAATTAATTTCAGTTTATTCTTTCTCACCCAGTCTGACTGATCTCAGCATCCACTCAAAGCCTCAAAGGCCACACCTAGACTAGATGAAAAGGAGAAATTAAAGTGAATATCACCAGCATACCACTGATACAGCATCCTACATTCTTGAGTGGGTGTGTTCATGTAGATATTAAATAATATAGGAGATCAAATGGAACATACACCCAAGGGCCAGGTTATGGAGTTGCAATCTCCTGGAAGTATCATCTCAGATCCACGTGCTGGAACCAGTGCAAAACTGATACACTTGTGTCAGCAAGACAATCTGAAAGGGCATAAAACTTGATTTGTATTAGTCACACAGAGCTCTCCAGGAGGTCTGGGAAATGTGGCCACTCCAGAGATTGTTGTACTCCACTTCTCTTCAATCACTCTGAACAACAATGAAGTATGGGGGAAAGTAATAGATCTGAAGGGCTCAATCAACATTTTTAGACCTGCTCATGGAGGATCAGTGGTCTTCCTTTCCATTCATCTCCTGCCATAGTCCTCCATTAGGATGACCAAGGGGGTCTGTCCCCTGTAATTAGACTATACCGATATAAATGATAACCAGAAATATATATAGGTGGGTCATCAGCAAATACTTGAACATCATGCCCACATAAAGGAACGGATCATATAGTCTAAAAGAGGATTTCTTTCTAGGAGTAAGTAATTTCCTCACAATTTCCTTCAAGGTGGTTGTAGCTATTCTCTCTCACTCTGGAACTTGTCCCAACCATAGGTCTTGTGGTAAATTTTGAACTGAATGCAGTTCATGAACTTCTCCGTCTCCATTCCCCTCAAGTCTAAAAATGTGG